ACGACCGTCGACGTCTTCACCGACACGCCCTTCGAGGGCAACCCGCTGGCCATCGTCACGATCCCAGCCTCGGTGACCCTGACGCAGACGCAGAAGCAGGCCATCGCCCGCGAGTTCAACTACTCCGAGACCACCTTTGTGCACGAGACCGACGACGCCTCCTCCACCACGCGCCGCTTCGACATCTTCACCCCCGAAGAGGAGCTGCCCTTCGCCGGCCACCCCACCGTCGGCACCGCCGTCTTCCTGCAGCCCCGCGGCGTCACCGAGCTCCGCGCCAAAGCCGGCCCCATCGCCCTCGAAAAGACCGGCCCCGACTCCGTCCGCGCCGCCATCCCCCACAACGTCCGCCTGCACCAGAACCGCCTGAAGAGCCTCGGCCCCGGCCCCTTCAGCGATGCCACTGGCGAGATCGCCGCTGCCGAGGAGAACGCCCCCATCTTCAGTATCGTGAATGGCATGACCTTTGCCCTCACCGAGTTGCCCTCCCTCGAGGCTTTGGGGTCTGCCAAGCACGGCCCCATCAACTTCCGCCAGAACGAGCTGCTGGACGAGGGCTGGCGCGATACCTTCATCTCGCCCTACTACTTTGTCCGCCTCGGCACTGATTCCGTCGACGGCCGCGAGGTGCACAAGATCCGCACCCGCCTCATCACGCCTACGCTCGAGGACCCCGCGACAGGCAGCGCCGCCTGCGCCCTGTCCAGCTACCTCAGCATCCATGTTTTGAAAGGGGAGTCGCTCAGCTTCGAAATCACCCAGGGCGTCGAGATGGGCCGTCGGAGTAATATCTACGTTGATTCCACCGTCACCACCGCCGCCGACGGCACCCGCAAGCTGGAGACTCTGCATCTCGGCGGGAAGGCGACCAAGGTCATGAGCGGTGTCATCACACTCAGACAGTAAACGCTGACGAGTCTTCATCTTCATCTACAGCGATGTAACAGAAACAGGATACAAATAAGTGAAAGAATATATACCACACTCGCTCTCCAGGAGTCGTCTCACCCCCTCCATCAGTCCTCATACACTCTCCAACCTACTAAAGGTTGATCCTCAAGCCGAGCGTGTTGTTGAACGTGACAGTTCCCCAGTACGGCTCCATACCCGCGTTGCCGACGTTGACGTACGTGCTCTCCGAGAAGACGCCCTGCTTCGCCAGCGCCACGAGCCAGTCCTTGATGTCCCCCTCGAACGCGCCGTTCTCCAGGTCGCCAAACTGGCTGTCCTCCGGCACCAGCAGCGACGACACCGTGATGCCCGTGTCCGTGTTCTTGCCCTGGTATAGCTTCCACCCGTCCTTGCCGTACAGCCCGTCAATCGTCGCCGTCGGGCCCTCCGCCCACCCGATCGGCACCTGCCCGCCCTCGTACCGCAGCCAGAGCATCAGCTCCTGCGCCGCCGACGACGTGCTGTCGCCCTTGGTGTCCGAGGTCATGAAGTCGTACACCACGTTGCCTATGTGCGTCTGTCAGTCACCATCTCTCGTGTCAATGACAGCACCACCCACCCTTGTAAGCAGACGTGTTCGACACGGTCCAGTCGTACGTGCTCGGGATGCTCGCGATGTCGCTCAGCCGCGTCTCCAGGTTCTGCGTGAGCCCGATGAACGAGTACCCCTTCACGACGTCCTTGTTCACCGTCGGGTCGATCTTCCACACGCTGCTCCACTCGATGCGCTGCGCGTCGCCCGAGCCCGACGTGCCCGCGTACCCCGTGCAGCACGAGCCGCTGATGGACTTGTAGTTGTAGTTCATCGAGTACACGATCCACGGCGTGCCCATGAGCACCTCGTAGTCGTTCGGCGCGCCGCAGAACTGCGTCTCCGCCGCGGCGGCCGTGGCCAGCACGGCGGGGGCAAGGTACCGGGTGATTTGCATTGTCGTGGGGGAGGTTCTGAGCTGTAAAGACTGTGGGTGATGGATGTGAAGGAGTGTTTGGGCAAACGACACCTTCACACCAAGGCAACGCTACATGCTGCTGCACATCTTCTTTTAAACATCTCCTCACCAGCTAATCCGAGCCGTTCGGATACGCTTCTCATGTCTCGTGGAGACGGGTAGGGGGCGAGTAATATGCAGACCATGTTGTCGTCGTAAACGCCGGACCATATTCGCTCGTCAATCTGAAACTCGCCCGCTGATCAGCACAGTCCAGGAGGACGGCAGCGGCAGCGGCAGCGGGAGAGCTGCTGCGCGCTGGAACGCTGGAAATAAAAACCCCGGAGCAATCATCTTTCATGTCGAAAGTGAATGATCCTGGCAATCTGACCACCCGCTCCCGCGAGGCAATCTCCCTTCCCGGGACCACGGGTTCCTAGCGCTCGGCAGCTTGATTGACTTTTGATTGTGGAGCGCGTGGCAGCGGGGTCTAGACCTGAGTGTGATGAAGGTGCATGGGAAACATTCAAGCAAGCGAATTTCTGCGTAGACCTAGGGTCTGCGATTTTGGGGGAGTGTCATGGTTATGTCGTCCTTTGTTCTCGCCTTATCTTAATGTTTTGATTTGCAACTCCATAGGATTGCGGTCGCGATGTTTTGGTTTTTTCGAGCAACTCGGGTGCAACGCGGAAACCATCTTTGACGCTCAGCTCTGCGTACGGCTCCCGGAAATGACGGCATATACATCGTGATGTGGGCAACTCTGTTGGACGGACATTGTGTGGGTGCAAAGGCTCTGCCCATGATAGAGCGATGAAAGACTACATTTTAGCCAAGCCATGCTAGATTTAGAGGGGATAGATGACCACCAAACTTTGAAAATCCATCATCTTTCTGAATCTTCGTACTACCAATTCGGGTTATTCCAAACTTGCTGCAAACAATCCCAAGGCGCGCAATTGGGTGGAAAGATGCCACATGGTCATACTCAACCAGCATCGCGCATGTTATCGAAGCAAGCCAAAGAGACAACCAACTCGGCCCTCCCAACGACTTATCTGAAGCTATTCGCAGTTTGTCAGCAGCTGCACATCAAGCCCCTTTCGCCCGATCGGCAATGCTTGATAATCCGGCAACTCGCCAACCCACACACATGGACCTGCAGCGCCGGCCCCACGACCATTCCAGAGACGATCGGCCGGCCGTCGAAGAATTTTTACGCATCCTCCACCCAAAACCAGCCCATCTTCTCCGCAGAAATGAGCCGATCGTCACCGCCCTGACGGCACCTCCTGCCACAAAGCAGGCCGTGACAGGCCCATCCCGCTGGCTGTCAGTTTGGATTAATCAGACGAGACGACATCGCCAACTGCCGCCCCTCTTCAACCACGATCCCCGAGCTTCAATTCCGAACAGCCCGGCCAAAAGGCGGGAGTGATGGGCGGAACGGGGCCGCGACAGGGGGCCGACCGCTGTCGAGTCAGTCAAAACGGTTCGAGCAGTGTCGCATCGCGGGGTCCATAATGACAGCATGAGTTGAACATTGCGTCATGTCGACTCTGCTGGAAGCTGGGAGCTGCGAACCCCACGATTCGCAGATGGCCTTCAAAAGTCGGCGTCGCCTCATGCAATGAGTAGTTGGTGTACAGATTGAGTCTCAGAACATCGTCCCTGAACAACATCCAGCGGCGTAACACGATCATCAACACTATCACCATGGCCCCGACGACAACAAACTCCTGGTCCATCACCGGCACCAGCAAGGAGAACTGGGACTCCCTCGAGTTCAAGAAGGACGTTCCCCTCCCGCAACTGGGCGACTACGACGTTCTCGTCCAGATCGAGGCCGTCTCGCTCAACTTCCGCGACCTCGCAATCCCCAAGGTCAGTCCCTTCTCGTCTCGAACCGCTACTTCAAAACACCAACACTAACCTCACCCTCGCACGCAGGGCCTCTACCCCTTCCCCGTCAGCTTCCCCCGCGTCCCCGCCTCCGACGGCGCCGGCCGCGTCCTTGCCGTCGGCCCCAAGGTCACCCAGCTCGCCGAGGGCGACGACATCTGCACCCTCTTCAACCAGCACCACCAGTCCAACCCCATCACCCCGCTCGCCGTCCGCAGCGGCCTCGGCGGCGCCCTCGACGGCACCCTCCGCCAGTATGCCGTCTTCCCGGAGCACGGCCTCGTCAAGGCTCCGTCCACCCTCAACGCCATCGAGGCCAGCACCCTCCCCTGCGCACCCCTGACCGCCTGGAACGCCCTCTACGGCATCCAGTCCAAGGCCCTCAAGCCCGGCGACGTCGTCCTCACCCAGGGCACCGGCGGCGTCAGCCTGTCCGCGATCCAGTTCGCCGTCGCCGCCGGCGCGACCGTCATCGCGACGACGTCGTCCGCCGCCAAGGGCGAGCAGCTTAAGAAGCTCGGCGCGCACCACGTCATCAACTACAAGGAGACGCCAAACTGGGGCGAGGTCGCCAAGGGCCTGACGCCCGGCGGCGCGGGCGCGGACCACATCATCGAGGTCGGCGGGCCGGGCACCGTCGCGCAGTCGCTCAAGGCCGTCAAGCTCGAGGGCGTCATCTCCATCATCGGGTTCCTCTCGCACGGCGACGCGCCCAAGGACCAGCCGACGCTGCTCGACGCGCTGGCCAACATCTGCACCATCCGCGGCCTGTTTGTCGGCTCGAAGCAGCAGTTTGACGAGATGAACCAGGCGATCGACGCGAACAAGATCAAGCCCGTCGTGGACCAGAAAATCTTTGGGTTCGAGGAGGTGAAGGAGGCGTACCAGTACCAGTGGGACCAGAAGCACTTTGGCAAGGTTGTTGTCAAGATCTAGGCAGCGTATGTAGCTTTGGGAGTGGCAGCCGGAAGGCGATGTCAGTGTAATTAATGCAGTAATGACCACTATGAAGCTCATTCGCTGAGTCCTGCCAGACCTGTCTGGTTTCCAAGCACTTCCTATGACAATTGTGTGTGTGATCGTATCGTGTTGTGATCATTGAACCTGCGCTATAGGCGCGCCGTATTATACATCATTCCCATTGCCACGAATCCGTTGCAAATTTTCATCAACCTGTACAGCCCTCTGGGTTCCTTCCCGATGTATGTGGCATCAGCTCTATGACTTTTGGTCCGACACGTCTTCGATGCGGCCGGCTTCTCTTGGACCACTCCGCAGAACGCGGCCGTCTACGATCGGGCGTCCATGGGAATCGTATTGCAGGGTCTCGGTGTACATCGGGCCTCCGCCCTTTTGGGAAGCAGTCTTGACCGTTTTGCCGTCGGGCGATCGCTGTGTCTGCTTCGCGTACCGCTGGCTGTTCTCCTTGCCGTTGACGGAGACGGAGGAGGAGAAGGATACGAACGAGGAGCTCCAGACGGGCATTTTCGATATGTGTGGGGTTTCGATATGGGTTCTTGAGGTCAAGATCCGAACTTGTGTATGATCTGGTATTAATGAGAGACAGAAAGCAGGGAAAGTGGCATGTGAGACGGACGAGTTGAAGAAATACCCAGCCTTCGTCTTGCTTGCATCATGGGCCCACAAAAGCTGCATACGTCATGGCCGAGCCCAGGCGCCATCTCATTGGGAGACACAGAGAAATCATGTGCCTGCAGCATAATCTGTGCTGCCTTTGTTGCATGGTCCGGAGCCGACTGGTTCAGATGAAATTGTTTGCTTGTCTTTCTTTCTACGCTGTTACTTAACAAGCCCAAGATGAGTCCAAGAGCAGAGTGGACTCTCAATCATTTATCATCACATACAATAAGCCATTGACTTTTCATCGCCAGGGGCAACACTAATCCTTTCGAGGGCCATATGAGTCCATTTTGCTTACTACATGCTCATTCAACCTAGCAGAGCCATCAATGGAATCGCAGACTCCAGGCAAATGTTCCCTTTCCATCGCAGATGACTACCTGCCGGGCTTTTCCCTCTTGGGCAATCGACGCATATCTCGCTCCCCCAAAATCACCTGAGAGTAACGTCGCAGTGATGTCCGACAGGGCTGATCAAGAAAAAGTTCTGCATCTCCATCATATCGTCCGTCATGTTGTCTGCAAGTCGCACGCCACGACAGTTCCGGAAGAAGACGGCAGTGGCAAGTCGCAGCTCCATGCGAGCCAGGTGCAGCCCGATGCAGACGCGGGTGCCGGCTCCAAAGGGCGAGAACAGCTGCTTCTGCTGCTTCGAAAGCGACTCCTGGTCGAGGAACCGCCTCTCATCAAACCTGCGATGAAGTCAGAAAAAATGCGATGTAGCAGGAGGAAACCGATTTACCTCAACGGATCGGGGTACACGTTCGGGTGCCGGTGAAGGGTGTACGCTTGCGTCTCAACTACGGTGCCCCCAGGGACGAAGAAGCCGCCAAATGTCGCGCCGCTGGGAGGCACTGATCGAGGAAGATTGCCTGGGGCAGCGCCATAGAGACGAAGAGTCTCATCAATCACCGCGTTGAGAAGCGGCAACTTCTCCAAAGCGGCGTCGTCGAATCCGTCACCCAGTCCGGCCAGCTCCTCCTCCAACCTCGCCTGTAGATCGGGCCTTCTCAGTACAACCCACACCAAGTACGTCAATGTCACGGACGTCGTATCGGATCCAGCAACGATAAGGTTGCCGGCTTCGGCTTGGACCTTGTCGGGAGTCAGGTCCGACTTCTCCCCAGCCTCGCACTCGGCGAGCATGTTGCCAAATAGGTTGGCAGAGTGGCCGTTCTGGCGCAAGTTTGCAGCGGCTCTGACGGCATGCGCTTCCACGATGTTTTGAGCTTGCACGATGTTCTGCACCGACTGGATTGGGAGGAGACGTGCCAAGAAATACAGCAGCGGCAGTTCCTTGCGGAGCGTGCTGAAGATGAAGACGGATTCTAGGGCTTTGATGTAACTGTTTTTCTGCTCTGTGTAAGTGACGCGAAAGGGGTCCCATGAAAAAGCGGCCTTACCTCTCCCAGTTCCAGCATCTCGAACGACTCTCCAAAGGAAAGATGGGCAATGACATCAGTCGTCATCAGCGTCCACCATTTCAGCACGTCGGCTTTTCCATTAAGGGCGTCGGCTTTGATCCGCTCGACAGCTCTCTCGACTTTCTGCCGGACAATACGCTCCCAATTTTGGCGCAGCGAGGCACTGGTGAACGCCCGAGCAAAGAGCTTTCGGCGCGCGGCATGTTTCTTCGGATCGACCATTGCGAAGATTCCCGGCTCGACGCCAGCGGTGACTGTTGAATACCATGGCCCCTTCAAAAAGCCCGAGCCAATCTTGTGGATCGTGTTGAAGCCTTCCGGGTCGGCGACGGCAACCTCGGTGGGCGAAATCCGGACAATGGGCCCGTATCGGTGGTGGAGAGAATGCACATAGTGCATGCGCCGGCCGGTGAGAGTTTGGAACTTCAAACCATAGTGTGAGAACCTCGTGTACCATGGTCCAGGAACGTGGCTTAGGGAACATGTCAAGCCGGTGAACAGGATCTGTCAAATCATCATTAGTACTGTCCGTCGCGGTGAGTTCATCCAAAGGGAATCTTGTTACTGACTCGAGCAACGAAAACGGCAAAAATGGCCGCCAGGCCGTAGCCTACAGCCGCGAAATTCAAAAGAAGCATGTCGACGAGCTTGAAGAGGCAACTACTGAAGTTAGAACAGACTTTCGAACCTGGTGTTCAGCGGCCAATGCCTCGCCTTTGAATATCGCTGACGGCCAAGGGAGGGGCCGGAAAACCCGCCCGGAACCGGTGGGGGATCGCCCACACCGACACCGACTGCCGACCATGAATCGAGGCTTGTCCGCCGTCTTCCCCGCGTTTCACAGCGGTCAGTCTGGACGATGGTTGAGATTCTTGTCGGACGCGGGGTATCTGCTGAGCCCGATGTGGGATAGTTCCACTTGGAGACCCAGCACTAGGACGGCCCGCGCGCTATTGTCCGAACACCGAACGCCGCAAAGGCATGTTTCGATTCCCACGAAATATAGATGTTGCCCGTACACGTTCTCTCTGGTCTTCTTTTCTTCATTCGACGGTCAGATCATAGGCCGACAATGGGATCCGAGTCGTCAATGTCCGCTGAGAACGTCTGCGTCCACGATTCATTCACGTTCAACGGGAAGACTCAGACGAAGTAGCTCATTCGTATTGAGTTTACTATCCGCGCGGTAGTTCTGCCTAACCGGGCGGTAATCCCACTAATCTCGACCAATCTGACTTTCAGCTTCAATCGCGTAGCTAATAACATACACCGTAACGTTCTACACACAATTGATCGCGCGCGCGAAGTTTACCGATTACCCGCGCGCAGCTGTGAAATCGACTTACGAAGTCCTTGTTCGGCTAACCATATCGCTGGATGATCGATGGAGTACCGCCCGGTTACCCAGATTGAAACTACCGCCCGGGTAGCCAAGTTCTTCGTATATTGATTTTCACTCGGTACTTCATCTCACGACAGTTGTCGACCTACCGTACAGGACAGAGCTCTTACTACGTTAAAGCAAGCAACGGCAACTGCTTTCAACAGAATCGCGGCTTTTCCGGTGTCCCTTTGACCCATCAAGGCAGTACTATGAAGTTTGCGCCCAAGAAAGTTTATTTTCGGCGGAAAGACTTACACATTGAGCACTGTATAGGGCCAAACTGACTGATGTTGAGACGCACGCTCACCAGGCGTTCCATTTGTTCTTCTCAGTGTCCATTTCAGGCTAGCGCGCGCCCTTAGGATGACCACGACAGATGACAAGGCGCAATGCTTCAACGTATTTGATGGGATCGGGCTGCTATTTACCTTGGAGAGCTCAATATTATCACACAGAGCTTGGATAGGTGGCCAAATTTCTAAAGATCTTGGAGGAAAAGCAACAACTATGCGACACGCCTCTGAAACGCCGACTGCCGTCCTCTTGGTGGACATCCAAGAAGGATTCAAGCACCCGACGCACTGGGGTTCATCCCGCAGCACGCCATCGTTCGAAGCCAATGTCGCAAGCATTCTGCGCGCAGCCCGCGAACGTAACTCTGCAATTGCATCGTCACAATCATCTGAGACGCCGATATCCATCATTCACGTCCACCACCACTCTCGCTCTCCGACATCCGCACTGCATCCGTCTCACTTCCTTGAAGGCTCATCGACGCCGTCCGTCTCTCCCTTGCAGTTCGCGGCACCTTTGAACAATGAGACGATTCTCGTCAAGAACTTCAACAGCAGCTTTGTGGGAACTCAGCTGGAGTCCATTCTTAGATCGGGTGGCATCCGACAGCTCGTGGTTCTCGGGCTGACAACAGATCATTGCGTGAGCACCACTGTCCGCATGGCGGCAAACCTACAGGTTCTGGGAGACGACGGAGGACCGGATGGCAATGGGGAGGGCGTTCATGGGGTCATCCTGGTGCGGGATGCGGTTGCTGCTTACGAAAAGGGGGGATTCGATGCAGAGACGGTGCATGCTGTGAGCTTGGCAAGCCTCGATAGAGAATTCGCTGAGGTTGTCTCTGCGAAGGATGTCACGACGAAAGTAATTGGGGACATTTCTGTCAACTGAATTTGGGCAAACTGGTCATCTCCATTTCACGATTTGATGCTGTTTGGCTTATGCCTTAATCCACTTGCATTCTGCTTGCCTCAGATATTTACCACCTATTGACCTTTTGTAGAGTTTTCCACACACATAGAGAAGCTTGAATACTTCTTTGAAAGCACGTGATGCTACGTCCGCCGCATATCTCGGTAATACTCGAATGGTACAGCCTTGTGGATCTTCCCATTGACTACAATGACGTTGAGCCGGCTGAGTTCCTGCAAAATACTAATGTCCTTGAGCGGATCACCATCTACAAGAATGCAATCTGCAAGATATCCGGGCTGGATTCTGCCCAACTCATGACTCCTCATGAAGAGTGCAGCTACGCCGGCGGTCGCAGCGATGATGCTTTCATGCGGCGTAAATCCGAGCAAATTGACGAAGTGCTCCAGATCTCGAGCATATGTGCCATGTGGTGTCCACGCGAAGCCATAGTCTCTACACGTACATAAGCACAAGCATGGTGTTAGGGACACAACCGAAGCTGTACCTACCCTCCAGGCAATATGAGGATACCGCGTCGATGCATCTCTCGAAGGCCAGCAACTGCAGTGTCAAGCTCTCTCACATATCCTGCCTTCTCGGCAGCCTCGTGAGTATACCCAAACGCTTCGGCTTCATACGCAGTTGCCACGAGCCAGTTGATCGCCGGTGCAACAATGCTCCTATGCCTATTTTTCTCCAGCATTTCCATGCCTACATGTATCCAGTTAAATTGGGCTTGTGGCAGACAGCCAGGCAAGAATTCTGAAGTCGTGCTTACCTTCGTCGTCGACATAGGATGCATGGAATATGACATCCACCCCATGACTGACGCACATCTTCACTGAGTCGCGAGCTCGGGCATGTGCGCATACTCTCTTGCCATGGTTATGAGCTTCCTCGACGCACGCAGCCGTTTCTACAGCGGTAAAGTAGCAATCTTCTGCCGCGCGGTTGCCTGTGATCTCCTCGCCTGACATGCTCATTTTGACGTTATCAACCCTAATGCGCTCAATATTTGAGCGAACAACCTCTCGCATCTCTGCCATGTATTAGCCCAAACTATTTCGGTGTAAGAGTTGACAACGACATACCCTCGGGGCCATCGGCGAATCTCGTAATGGAGGCTACTAGGTCTCCTTCTGGTTTTGCAATTTCTCTTGCATTGGCCAGGTATCGGGGACCCGGAATGTCTCCAGAGTTTATGGCATCCCGGATAACAATATCAAGTCGGTCCTTTGCTGCGGCAGCCCCAAAACACCTATAACTCAGGATGAGACCCATCTACATCATGCACCAAGTGAGTGCGTACATCGTGTATCCCGAGTCAAGAAAGCATTTGGCACTTTTGATCGTCAAAAGTACATGCTCCTCTACTGGCAAGTCTCCTAGGCGGGTCAAGTCGCCCCCGTTCCAAGTCAAATGTGCGTGAGCGTCACCCAACCCTGACATCAGCGTCCTTCCTCGCCCGTGGAATACCGTCACGCACGGGTCTTATTTGAGCTCTTCCTTTCTCGGAACAGTTCCGACATGTGTTATTCTCTCGTCTTCAATACCATTAGCATGCAAGAGTGTATCTTTCCTGGGCAGATTTGCTCACCTTCGATGAGAACATCGCCTGGGTATGGTTGCCGACCTGTCGATTCCAAGATTTGAACCTCCGTGAAAAGAATCTTCGAGCCTCTGTTACTTCCATGAATATGATAGTCCCTTGGTTGTAGCTTTGGGTCCAACTTGAGGTTGTCGATGTATGCCACATTTCTTGGAACCGCCTGGGAGTCCTTTGTTGGTCCCCACGTAGTATAACGACCTTGCGGCCATGAAACATGGCTTGAAGTTGCCATTGTCTATGCCGATGCCACCTAGTCTATAGTGGTCAGTCCAGCGCTCAACAGGTTTCTCGTTCGAACGATGCAACCGACCACTTTCAAGCCAGCAAACAAACACGCTCGCTGTTGGAGCCTTGGGTCTTCCACAGGAGGGACTCTTCACCTTTGGTTGTCATTAAATTTCGTTACGCTTTGTTCGGTGCCGTTCTTGCTCTTCTGATACCCCCGCAGTTCATGTCTGACATACCCCGCGTGGTTGAACATGAGCTCAGACAGTCGATCCTATCGACCACCCAATCAAGATCGCATGCCAACAACTGCCGAAATGTCAGCAGCGCAAACGTAAAGGCTTGTCAAATTCCAATGCTGACTGGTGGAAGATCCCTTTTTATTATTTTGCATAACACCCACCCGTGATAGAGACAGTCTTCGGAGTGAACGGGCATTAATGGTAGAGTGTGTTCGTATACGGGACCACGATGGAATGATCAATTCCACACAAACCCAATGATGGCGATGAAGACAAAGCCACACGTCAAAATCCAAGATAGCTAAGCCGCGAAGCGTTTTACTGGAAGGACCTCTCGATCACAGTGTTAAATTCCCTCTCTGCATCTTGAGCATTCTTCAGCGCGTCACACCGTGCGTCGCCCATCCACTTTGCCGCCTTCTCCTCGGTGACACCTGCCACAAGTATGGTCTGGAGGTTCAAAGACTCGATCAACGCCGTGATGTTCCAAAAGTAGCTGCTGAGAGGTTTGACCAGAGCGCGCATCTCCATCTCCTCTCTGTCCTCCGCGGGAATAGTGACAAGAATCGGGTCAAAGTCCCTTATGTTCTCAAGTGTCGGGAAACTTTTCATCCAACTCATGTTGAGTTCGACTAGGTTCCGAAAATCAGATACGAACGCTGCCCCATCTCGCGCGATATCGACCGCCTTCTTCGCCATCTTCTTGGCTAGCTCCGGTTTCTCGGCCATGAGAATGATGTCGTAGAGCCTATTGGCCTGAATGCAGTTGTTCATGGCGATGTTGACTTCATCCGTTGCGTCGAGCAACTCAACATCTTCTTCGTCCAGCTGGACTGAAAAGTGTCGCAGGTGCCGACAGGGCTGTTCGTCGCATGCTTTGCACGGCCCGAGCTGGGGGGAGACCATCTCTGAGACGACGGGTTCCGGTGTCGATTCTCCTGGTATGACGAGATTCGGTACCATGCCCTGGGATGCGCTGTCCTTATCAGAGGGAATCTTGTGGGAAACGACTTCAACCGACTGCGTTGGTGGCTGAGTGGACGTCGGAAACGAGTCGGATTGCTGAGGCTCCCGAGCCTGCGACCGAGTGTTGTGTATCTTTGTCCACCTCAGCGGCCTGTCTGGTATGATGGAAGCTCCCTGGGAGGCCTTGGAACACCCATTCATGGTAAGGGGACGCGAAGTTCTCTTGGCCGCAGGTTCCACGGGATCATCATAGATACTTGGCCTGGGCCGCTGAGGAGCAGGTCGTTTCCTGGAGGTTGACTTGGCCGTACTCTCTCGAGTCTTTGGTACGGATTTAGGGCTGGGGCGTGCACCTTTCTGGATGCCATGACTGTGCAGCAATGGCAATACTGAAGGCTGTGATGGACGGAATGGATCGTGTGCGATATTAGATGCTGCCTTTGTGTTACCTGATGCTGGTGTTTTGTTCATGCTTCGGGAAGATGAAATTGAGGACGATGACGAAGCTGTCAACGAGCAAGAGGATGAATCAGTTGACGAGTCAGAGTCAGAAGACTGATCATGCGATGAGCGTGGCTGAGCCGGACTGGCTCCCTGCGTCAAGTGAACAGCGTCGATGTTTCCAGTATTTTGATTGGGCTGGATATCGATCGCATTGGAATCATGGTGTTTGGTGCTGTCCGTTGCGAACGATTTGAAAGGTTCAGGCTCGGATTTGAGGGTTGATGCTTCGTATTTGGAATCTTCGGTTTTGGTGTCCCGGTCTGGCAATGGCTCCACGGGACGATGCTGAAAGGTTTAGTGTCATGTAGGAAATATTTGAAGATCAACGCGAAGTCCTTGGGGGACAACTCACCGAGAAGGCGACAAAAGCATTCGAGATGTCTGCACACAGCAGGTGCGGTAAGCAGTCTGGCTTTGACTTCAAACGTTGCTCCACCTGTGCGGTGAGCCAACACTGTCCTTCTGTGCCAAGTTCTAGTAAAGTACATATAAATGAGCTGGGTAGCAAGATACGCACCACTGCAGCTAAGGCCAGTGACTCTGTAGAAAGTCTGAAGATAATCGATATATCGGTGATTGTATCCGATTAACGGGATCCATTCGGGGTGATCGCAGCCGAGAATGTCACTATGGACAACAGCACCGACCTTTGCGAAGAACGATTGTATTTTCCGGTCTCGAAACACCAAGGGCTTATTGAAGACGGGCGGTGGTCTTGCCGGGATCACATTCGCCCCCGCCATGATGATTGGGCAATCAGGAGACGATTGTGTAAGAGCAAAGATGTGTGGCAGCTGGGAGTTTTTGAGGCAATGAGTTCATGATGAGGCGTCAATAACTGCCTGAAATCACAGACAATGCCGAAATTGTTCTATACGTGTATTGATTAAGGGCTTCGACATCGAAAGCTGTCCATCTTACACGAGCTTCTCGGTGGCTTGTTCGGCACCTCGATTGTCTTGATTCCTTGGCATGGCTGGCCCAGGTGAATTCGAGGTGTCTGTGCGCAAAAGCGGATGATCCGACTGTTTCGATTGGCTGACTTCTGATGAAACATCTCCCTTCTCGGCTCCCGCAATTCGTTTTCCAGCCCCTGACACTCATCTGATCGACTCTTCAACAAACTTTTCAGCCCTACAACTCCTCCTACTGAGGCCGTCTCTTGGACACGAACTGTTGCGCAACCATGGAATCTATCAAAAGCTCCGTGGATGTGGTAGATGGCACATGGTCTCATCTCAACGGGCTGATCGCAGATGTGCCCTGCTGGACGTGCAGACGGAGGCGCCTGAGATGCGACAACCTCAAGCCGGCATGCGTCAAATGCACCCGGGCGGGGCTGCAGTGTCTGGGGTACGGACCCAATAAACCTCTTGTCTGGGTCGAACAAGGCCGCCGCCGCAAGTTGGCTCACAAACAGACGCCACATCCAGCATCACCAACCCTAGCCTCTTCCGTCAAAGATTATGACCAAGAATGGCCCAAGGTAAGCCGTTTCTACAGAGTTTATTGTCTGAACATGACGAGCTCATCACTACCAGCCCCAAGAGCCGCATAATCGAACACATGAAGACGTACAGCGCGCGCCAGAAGACGATGATCGGCAAATCAATAGATGGGAGGTTGGCCCACTTCTCCAGAGCCCAGTTGACCCCATCCTCCGCCAGCATGGCATCAAGTCCGTCGAGTACATATCTTATTGTGAGTCTAAACTCTTGATCTGGCTTAGCACTGATTAATCTTTCACTTTCAGACGAACAACGTTGTTGTATGGAGTGTAGCATCTATGACGAGAAATCTGTAAATCCGTTCAGACGGTTCATGCCAATGGCACTGTCTAACCCACTCGTTCATCATACCATCGTATCACTCGCGGCACATCATCGAGCGCGTTCTGAGATTACATTGGAACCTCCAGAGAAACATGGCTTGCTGTTTCATATGGCAGTCTCGGATAGCGTCGAGTCCAGTGATACTGCGACATCGTTGCAGCTCCGCTCCAGGGACTTTGCAGACGCTCTCATGCACAAGCAGCAAGCCATAGCGCACATGAGGTTGGCATTGACAGGCCCAAGCCCTTCGGACGCAGTTGTCGTGTCTACACTGCTTCTGATTTGGGTAGAACTTCTCGAATTTGGGTATCGGTCCTGGAAGTATCATCTCGGTGGCATGCGGGCTTTGCTGGTTTCGCGAACAAGCGCTGCCCTGAGAAGTGACGCCGAAGCTGGGTTAGCGGGTTCCGAATTGCATGATGCCACGTTTTGGAATTTTGGTGCTTATTTTGAGGAAATTTATGTCTCGTAAGTCAAGGGCACAGATTGCGCAGACAGCAAACTAACACCGGCAGGCTTCAAACATTTGGCTCAACATTGTGTCGCGATAAGCCAGACTTGTCTGAGACCTTCACCGACCCCGGACTTTACACGATCTTGAGACGTGGAGAATTCCGGGGTTGGACGGGATGTCCCGCGGAGCTGTCGCACATTCTCTGTGGCTTCAACTCCCTTCTGTGCACCTCGAGGGCTGGGAATTGCCAAGAAGACTTTGCCATGCGCGCGTCGCAACTATTTCAGCGGCTCGAACAGTTCTCTTGTCGGCAGTGGGCGGTGGACTACCCCGAACCACACTATGTGTCTCAGAGAGAGTCTTTGGCGCATGCCTACAAGTGTGCAATTAAGATCTACGGCCGGAGGGCTCTAGCCGGGCAACATTCCACCGAGCTTTCCCATGTTGCCCATGCCGCAGTTGAGTCTCTGCGATGCATTAGCCCAAGGGATTGTCATTTCAAAGGTTGCCAGTGGCCGGCATTTGTCGCAGGTGCTGAGGCAAGGGACCCCGCAGACCGGATGGCGGTCAAACAGATCCTTCTCGATATGCACAAACTGGTCAGGACGCGGAACGTGGAACAGGCCATACACATGCTCGAGAGAATATGGCGCCAATCGGAACTTCCAAACCCCAAAACATGGATTGAGTACGTGTATGATACAGGCGAAGAGTTACTTCTCGTATGAAAGGAGTACAAGCTAGCATGATGCCATCTGTGTTCGCGGCTGTGACCAACCACCCGTGTTTTCAAATGGCAAACCCGCCCTGCTGTCGCACCTGCATCAAGATGTCGTACATGAGGTCCTTGGGCAGGGTCCGCATGACCTTCTGCGTCTCGGCCTTGTCCATCATCTCGCCATGACGGCAGATCATGCCGACGACCACGTCCTTCATCTTCCGGTCGTCGTCGCCACCAGAGCACGAGGTGTAGACCTTCTCCGCCGCGCGCAAGAATTCCTCCGTGTGCCACTGGCTGTCGGCCTCTGCCTGGAATTTGTCGAATGAAAGGGACCGCAGACCGGCGATTCCGTATTTCCTGGATAGCGCATACACGTTGGCGTGCAGAACGAGACTCTTGGTGCCACTGGCTGCGACTGCCTCTATGCCGTTAGTCTTGGTGTTCACCACGGACGCGGCCGCTGGCTTAGCATCAACGGCGATGTTGCCGTTGCGAGTGGCGGGCGGCTTTGACTCGAGTACCGCACCACCTGCCTCGCTGTGGTTGTCATGACTGAGAGACGCCTCGAGGGCAACTGGGGACGCGAGGGAGTCGCCCTGGGGCTCGGGCGAACCCAGGCCAGCCTTCGCCTGGGCTTTGGCGCGCTTCTTCTGCTTCTTGGTGGTTCGCTGTGGCTGGGGTGGCAGGAAATCATCCAGGGTTTCTCCTGGGTCCTCTGCCTTGATGTCCTTGTCCAGAGGCGCGTCGTCTGACTTGATGGATCCGTTGGGACCGTCGTCGTCGGTGGTGTGTTCATTCGCATGGGCATGGCCGTTGGTCTGAGGCACGTATGTTGAGGGCTCCGAGGGATAGTCGAGCTGGTAGAAGTAGCGAATGACCATCCCGACCGCCTGAGGGTCATCGTCGGGAAGATTCAGGCATCCGTCTGTGGCCGCCTGCGGAGACAGTGCTACGTTAGCATCGAGATGGATTTTCTGTACCGGGACACGGATGCCGACCTGCGACTTGGCTTCACGACATTTCTCGGCGAAATAGCTGGATCTTGGGCACACAACCGCCTTGTGGACGTGGTACTCATTCTCACGACTGGCGATAGTGAGATCTGAGAACTCAGGATTGTTGTAAAGACTGTCTTGTGTGAGTCAATTGCGCTTGCGGCTTTTGCGATTCGCCGATGGACTTACTGCTTCAGAGAGCTTCTCAGCTCCTCGACAGCGTCGGCGCTCATGATGATAGGCGTCAAGAGCAGTCCTCCAACTCAAGAACGAGACCGTGAGGGATCTGGATCAACCAAACTTTGACATCGGGGCACGAGGGCAGCTATTTGTGCTTCAGCCATAGCCTCGCCAGCCCTTTACGACACAGCAGTGGCATGACAGCTTCTGGGCAGCTTCGTCCTCGTCGGAGAGTGTCCAGCGCATGCCTCATCTCGCCCACCATCATGCATTCGATCAAATTTCAGGCAAGCCTGGGCCGTGATGAGGCGGTTTGATTACCTCCCCCGAACCAATTGAGGGTGTGTAGACGACCTAGTTTACGCTCAGGAAGTAAGATGGCGCACACGCTTCTGCAGGCAGCATGCGACCGCGCGACGCAGCCTCGTCGTGATATGCCCCCTTCACGCCTGGAAGCCTGGTGTCATTGGATTCTTCAGCGCGGTTTGATGCGGAAGGCTTTCGTCATTGGAGCCCAAACAGCCACACCGTCCGCCCCGGTGGTGTCGGGACCGCGTCGCACGGCATGGTCAACGGCAGCAATGCATTGATACCTGGACAAGCAAACGGCCAGTCAATAAGTCCCGGGCAGCGCCTCGAAGTAGGCTCGGCTCGCTTGGTACCAATCGCAGCGCCGGAGGATGACACCCTCTTCAATGAAGTGCGGGGAACGGGACGCCCTCCTTGAGTGGCCGGATGCTGACCATGAATTGGGCGTCGTGGTTCGCAAGAGGCAACGAGGAGATGAATTGACTTTGGCGCAATGCAGAGCAGCCCGCGTCATTGGGCCTATGGCTGGGCCTGAATTGAGAGACGGAAAGATTTTGCTGGCAGCTCTATGACTTCGGTATCCGTAGGAGAAGAGAGTCAATGTGCTCGATTTCAGAATAGTGGCGGGGAGGATAAGAGTAAAACATTAATCAAAATGATCGATTTCCTCGAATATTTGCACATCTTGTACTTAGGACTGTCGCCTTTTGAATTCTGTACTCTAAATCCATGCGAGGTAGAATTTCGGCCGACTTACATTCGTGCGCCTCCCGAAGTGCGGAAGTGCCGAAGCGGGGCCATGTTCACCGATCCGATGCCGGTCACCGCCGGAGTTTTCGCCATGTACCTTACTTGACCGAAGCTGCCCAACGTGTTACCCGTCGGCTAGTAACTCATGTGCGCTGGCCGTGAGATGAAGAGCGGCGGTGCTCTAGTGTCCTCTGTGGAAAACAGAAAGGCCTACCCATTTCCTCGCGCACGGTTCAGAATAACATCGCTTCCTCAACCATGCTCGATGGAGATAGCACAACGTACTTAGCTAGTGGCCGGGTTAAACTTGGTGCAGCATCACGACCTTTCCTCAATTCCGGCTAAGAAAAGTTCTCAACTCACCTGTCAATGTTAGTCAAGACGCATGTACGAAGTTCCGGTCAATAACAATCATGGTTCATCGTGTCTACCTGGTCCTCTGCATCTGCCTCTCCATGCTCTTGTTTGCATCGGCTGCGAAAATGCCCGATTATGGCGTCTGGAAGGGGACAGCGACATTCTTTTCTGCCCCTCAGAGCCCTTCAGAACGAACGGCACTTTTGACCATCCGAGATGGCAAGACCTACCACACAAGCCCCGCCCCTACGCCCCCGCCAAACATTGATATACTCACAACTCTCAGTATGGAAGCACCAGACGTTCACGACACTCGCATCGTGTATTGGATAGATCGCAACTTTACAGCCTCTCTTGTGTCAGACAGCTTCATGTTGGCGAATCTGAAGCCCGGATACCACGAGATTCCATCATCCGAGCGAGATCCTCACCATGTCCCAGGACTTGACATGGTGGCAGACGGACATATTCACATGATAAAGGGAACATTCAGCACACACAACGTTCCAGGACATGTTCAGGATACTGCCGACATGATGATGTCCTTTTTTGACCCGGCAGTTGAGGCGCAGGCGGATGTTTGGGTCTGGGGCCAACGAGGAGAACACGGACAAGGACTTGTCATGCATCATGTCCAAATGAATCAAGGGCATTCGGGGATGCTCGCCGAAGAGAATGGACGAAATCAAGACGGCGGTGTTATAGTCAGATACTACGACCACTGGGAGGCGCTGTTCATTGCGTTCCCCCAGCAGGCAGCCATCACGGATGAAGCGGGAGAGCCAGTCGGCGATGTCCTGGCTAATATCGCTGGTCGAGGGTAGCGACGCAAGATGTGTTCAGGAGGGGAGGGGCTCATCAAGGGCATTGAGTCAGCACGAAATACGCAGACTGGGATCTGTTGCCAAAATCGGATCATCTTGGTTGACGAGCTGATGAGACTAAAGCAAGGCTTTCCGCGTGCTCTGAGCGCCGTATCAACAATGATAACGTTTCGGTTCACAAACGGTTATAACAAGTGCGCCCCGTCATGAGAAGTCGTGAGAATAGCAGACCTGCACCGCGAAGCCTAAGCGTGGGCCAGCTACATGCCAGCCTTCAAAATCTCAAAGGCATCTTCACGATTGCCCCTGAACCGCTCCTCGGCAGCCGTCCAGTTGATGATCTTCCACACGTTGTCGACATACGATGCTTTGCCGTTCTGGTACTTTAGAAATCGTCAGCCAAACCGCGTCGAACATGCCAAGGTCGACAGACGTACCTGCAGATAGTATGCGTGTTCCCACATGTCGATACCAATAATGGGCACCTCTCCGCCAACGACGGGGTCTTGGTCCTTGGTTGTGACGATGCGAAGTCCACCGTCCCTTCCAGGAGCCTTGACCAGCCATCCCCATCCTGAGCCCTGAATACCCATCAATGTCGAGGAGAAAACAGTTCTCAGGCCAGCAAGACTACCAAATGTGGACTTGATCTGTTCCATAAGCGATGGAGCGGAGCCCTTGGGGTCCGAGGCGTCTTTGCTGTCTGCAGGGGCGAGGGTCTTCCAGAAGAGCGAGTGGTTGATGTGGCCTCCGCCGTTGAACTTGATCATGTTTTGCAGGGCAATCTGGTCGGGAATGTTGACCTCGGCCACGGCTTTGGAGTAGTTACCCAAGGCAGCATTGAGGTTCGTGACGTAGGCCTGGTGGTGCTTATCATGGTGCAGTGTCATGATTTCCGCCGAAATGTGCGGTTCGAGAGCCTTTGTATCACGTCAGGCTGTGATGTTGCGTTGCCATTGAGTGACTTACATTGTAATCGTAGGGGAGGGGAGGCAGCGTATACGTCTGGACAGCCATCTTGGGCGGGTCGTCCTGTACCAGTGAGCGAACGGTGTTCCAGCGGCGATTACATGCGGCATCAAAGCCCGCGAACGACGACGGAGGCGCTTCACAAACAGCACAGAGCACGGCGTGTCTGGAGAAAAGAGTCGACGCTGGGGAGAACCCACCATCTGCGCATATTGGACCTGTTGGGGGAACTCGCTGGGCATATAGGACGCCGCGCCCGATGAAGGGGTGGCTAGGACTGATGAGACGCTAGTCATGGCTCCCTTGCGATGATTGCGCAAAAGCCAATCGACGAGGGCAGAAGACCGCCGTATGGCTACCTGATGAGGCTACAGAGGGGATCTGGAAGACGAGTAGCCGTTGGCAGGGAATACTCAGTGAACGACAAGCAGCGATGGCGGTTGCCGAGGGGGTGGATCGCCTGCCGAGACGTGTCAAAGGTCAGTGACGCGAACCACGGCAAGGTTGACATGCGCTTTATGCTTTGGGGCGGGACGTCGAAGCCGAGATAACAACGCCTTGGGCCCTTTACCTTGCTTGGGGAGTTCTTGCGTTGAGAGGGGTGCCGTTTGGCTTGACGGGGAGAGAAACTGAGAGCAACGGCGAGCAGATGAGACGGTGAGGGCGAGCCAAATAGTTTCCAGTCGGGCCGTCGCGCAAGGCAAGGTTCATACACATCGATCCAATGGACAAGGGACGGGCAGAGTTGAAGCAATGGAAACAAACTAGTCGAGGTACAATGTGCACGGCTCGATGGCCACGTTGCGGTTTCTCCTCTCAGGGCGTCGATCGCCGCGTCCGGGGTCTTGGGGGGCCGCTAAAGCCGAAGGCCTGGAGCTTAATAATGTGAGGTGCCCCTGAAGAGCACCACTGCACCGGACGCTGCCCATCGCGAAAGCGAAAGCCACACTCGCAGGGGCATTTATGCTTATGTACCTTACTTCAACTATGCTTCTTACCATACTCGAGCCATCAACCAAACGCAATGTCAGAGTTGCATGGACTTTGACTTTGTCCTTCCTCGCAGCTTTTATCTCATTCGGCCTTGGGCTCACGAACCCAAATCTCGTCAATGGGGTCTCCTCTGCCCTGAACACACTTCCACTTGCCCATGCCGTACTCCTTGGGCGCAACTCGGCACCCTCTGCCACCGCCTCCCACGATTAGGTTTCCGGGACGGTATTTGGGATCCCTCTCCATCCTGCGAATGACACTTCCGTGGACCCTCACCTTATCCGGCACATCACGCACCTCGCCCCTGGGTAGAGGCCAGCGGATGGGCTTCCAACTCCCATCAGGCCTCAGGTCCAGCCGACGGAAGGGGAGATGTTCCATCATACGCCACAGGAAGACCGTCGCAGGGTGCATCCCGCATTTGAAGTCCAGAGAGTCGTGGATATCCGCCTCGTGCGCCGTACTAATCATCTTGCCGAACAGAGTTCCTGTCTCGGCATGGGTCATCCCGTCGGCCTCTTCGTCGGCCTGCACTGTGGCTGATCCGCTCGGAGACGCGCTCGGAGACCCGACCGGAGATGGAGCGTCCACATGGATCTCGGGGACGGTTGATGGAGCACGTGATCTTTCAGGGGTCTCATTTACCCAGGGGACGGGATGGAACCCAGGTCCAGCGACCGACTCAACGCATCCCAGGTTCTCGAGCTGGTCAATATCGAAGGTCAATCCTGCGCGGATGGCCTCGCGCACCATCCAGACCAACGGGATGTGGCTGGCATTCTTGCTACCGGCCTTTACATCCCATCCTCCGCCAATGTCGCCGTGGCCCCCGGCAAACCACACCTCGTCGACGCTCTGCTCCTCTTCGTCGTCCGAATCGTAACCCAGATCCTCCATCGGCGGTTTGGAGTGGATTGATGAAGCATCATGTTCTGTGCCACCCGGGTATGACCGGTTCGTAGTCCTCGACTTGGACCTGGAACGGGAACGGAAAGGCGCAGGGTGATCTGCGTCTTCCCCCTGTGCGCGGGACTGGCGTCGACCGCGGTCTTCCGCAGCGACAATATCGTCCGGCGCGAGAGTTGATCTCCGGCCAGGCCTGTACTTCTCCTGGAACTCCTGCACCTTTTCGTTGATGGGGTGGTGGTGTTCCATCATCCGCTTAGCAGCACTCTTCTTGCGGCACCTGTTGGGCTCCTGGTAGATAAGGTCCTGGCGGAACTTGGCACGCCGCTCGTCGATGCTCACGGCGTGCCTGATGACCTTTGCCGAGCTCCGAGCGGTGTACGGGAACTTGCTCCGCTGCATCCATGCCGTCTCGAACCGGGGCACGCTGTTTACAGTGTCGAAGAGTCCCAGAAACCGGATCCTCCGGATTGGTCGCGAAAACGTCTCGCGGAACCCCTTGAGGAACTGGTACATCTTCTCGCGATCTTCTTTGCCCTGAGGCGTGGAGTTTGACCTGCGAGCCTGCCACTGGGAGAAAGAGTTCCACGCGAACGACACCATCTCCTCATTTCCATGGGCAAGCAGGCCGACAAAATCCAGCATTTCTGCGAGGAACCTAGCCACGTAGGCTCCCCGTGAGAAGCCGAACATGTAGATGTCATCACCTGGTGAGTAGTATCGCATCAGAAAGCGATAGCCGCCCACGACATGCTGGTCGAAGGATGATCCTATGGCGGAGTCTTTGGCCATCTGGTAGTATGACTTGCACTTGGCCCGCAGGCCGTTGTGCGTCAAGTTGTCGGAGACAACATACGTTCCGATGCCAGCTGTGACAACGTCAACAATCGCACATCGACGTTTGCTCGGGACGACTTACGTTGGTAATAGTGAACTATCGCTCGGGTTAGCTAGCTGGCAGAAAAGAAGGGCCGGCAAGTGCAGCGGACGAAGACTCACATTGGTCGTTTGCGTTGCTGTCTAGCATGCGGAAGATTTTCAGGATGTTGCTGTCGCTATCGTCCCCCCGGAACTTGTTTCCGGTTCCGTCAAAGCAAAGAATCAGCTTTCGCCGGGGGCCGCACACCTGCCCGGTCCGGAACGCGCCGTTGTCGAACGGGCTGACATCCCTTGACTCTCTGATAGCCGACTGGCCGTTCTGAGTGTGAGGATGCTTGAGAATATGAGGATGCATCGTTGACACTGCTGTTCATACGTGAAGCTTGTCTTCTTTTCTCAGCTCCTAACACCTATGGAGTGCCAAGTAGCTACTTCTCGTGCGCGGACGTGGGTGCGTTTTCCCTTATACGGGTGGTTACGTTTCGCGATCTTTTGACACCCCGACGCATTCCATATGTTTCTCAAGGGGGCACGGCGGTCTGGCAAGTCCTGGTAGTCGGTGACAGGTGATATGCAACCGGTCAGATCCGGACTGATGTGCGTCACCAAACGGCATTCCCTATAGAAGCTCGTCTTTTGCGTGGGCCAATCGTTTCTCATCAGCGGCGCCGACTTTCCGCTCGTGTCTTACACCATCTGCAATGCATTTTTAACCCAGTGTCGTGAAATGATGCCAGAATTGAATCAGCATGATCGTCGGCCTCGGTCAAGCCTGTGAGCTTCACTTCACCCGCGACTCACACCGTCCATGAGTGAAACCTCTTCGTGAAACAGATCTACACCTAACAGCCACTAGTCGAAGCATTGGAACTGTAAACCCCTCTTTCTGACAAACCAAGACACCTGTGGTATGAATGTTTTCGGACAAGGGCATCCTCAGCTTTGAGCCTAGAGACTAGGGAAAGAGACATGTCTCATGCCCAATTTCGAAAGATGCCCCTTGTTAAGGAATGGACTTGGCGCAAACCGCTCTTTTGGGCAGTCGCCCTAATCCGCTCGACCACTAGCTCTTCAGAAGCCGAGATAGCTCGCAGATGTGCGAGAGATTATGGACACTTGGAATGTAATACAATAGTAGATCACTGTGAGACATGCGGCAGAGCTAACAATGCCACCAATCACCAACTGCCACAGAGTGACATCATCAATGGCTGGAGGCTTGTCTTGCAACTCTTGATGCCCATTCGGGAGCG